AAGAGGAGAGAAATAGACACAATCATCTATCTAGCTAGCTATCTAGCTAGCTATCTAGCTAGCTATCTAGCTAGCTGAAGTGTAACCAAAGAAGGTTCATCTGCTTCACCCTATCCAGACACTCCAGTGTGGCTATAAAGTAAATCTGGGATTCAGCCTTCTACAAGGTAGGTGTAAGTCTCTGAAGATGCCTGAAGAAGGAAACACCAGAGTTATTCTAGTTCTCTTCCCCATCCCACTCCATAACCTTAAAAATGATGACTCGCAAAATCACAGACTGGCCTACATATTTCCTTGAAACAGCTGTCTTACCAAATCACTACAACTTGGGTCAAAAATAATCTGGATCTCTAAAAGAGGCTGGATGCCCTGGAACAAAGCCCTCTTCAATGTGTTCCCACCTCCATTAAGGGCACACAAAAGCTGACCCAGCTTTGTAGCTAGCATTTCATGGCTCGTGACCACCCCCTCACTGCCTTGGAAACAAACCCCTACTTGAAATCTTTTCATAGTCTTGGTCCATCTATGGAAAGTAGGTGGAGAGGGAGATCATGTAATTACAACCAAGCCAAAAGCTTGTGTCACTAGTTCTATTTTATAAACTCCCAAATGGGTTCAGAGACTTTAAAGAAGGTTTCTGAATTCAGTCTGTATAATAAGCCAAAATTTAATCAGACATGTAAGGATCAGTAGGGATCAGTAGTCTGATCCCTAGTTGCCACTTATCCTCTTAGAAGGTCCTATGAGATCATTCAGGCATATTGTTGTTTTTGTTTTGTTTTGTTTTTGGGTCCGGTCATGGGGCCTGAACTCTGGGCCTGGGTGCTGTCCCTCAGCTCTTCAGCTCAAGGCTAGCACTCTACCACTTGAGCCACAGCGCCACTTCCGGCTTTTAATGCTTATGTGGTGCTGAGGAATCGAACCCAGGGCCTCATGCAGGCAAAGCAAGCGCTCTACCACTGAGTCACCTTCCCAGCCCCATCCAAGCATATTGTTAACACAAAGAGTGAGATGAAAGTATCTTAAGCAGAGAACGTATTCTGAAGAGGGTTAGAATTCTGCAGCATGAGGAGACAGGTTTCTAAACAACCACCCACCTAAAGAACTCTAGGTACCTTGCTGATGGCTTCTCCCTCCTCCTTGATGAGAAACACTCTCCTAGGTGGTGGGTGGAGTGAGGATCATCTGTCTAGTACCTCTGCAATATGGAATCAAAGGCTATCAAGTTAAATGGAAAAGTTTGCAATGAACTCATAGCCTCTGTGCCAATGATTATGCTGAGGGGGAGGGGGGACATGACTTCTCAAACTACCCACCCAGTCTTTTGTTCCAGTCAGAATCTGAGGCAGATTTAGAGTGACAGGATTAACCAGTCTCAATTTTCCCAGGAAAGATTTTTGTAGCAAAAAGGAGATGGCTATCTGTCTGTATTGATTTGTCTTCAGAATCCTGAAATTAAGGATGTCTCCAGGGACATAGATTTGTGACAATTGCATGGTACTTATCTTAGAACATGTTTAAAGTATCCCCCACCAAGATCATCCTGCTAGGGAAGGCCTGAGGAAGATTTTGGTGGTGTCACAGATAGAAAGCTGTGAATGCTGGGTTCCTGTTCTGCAGGAAGCTTGCAGAAGAGGATACCTGGGGAGAAACAAAAAAGAGTAATAAGCGTTTTTGGCTTTAGCTCAGTATTGCACCCCAAACCTAAAATAAGTTAGTATATATTCAAGGCCATCTTCCAATCATATTCCAATACCCAGAGCCCCTTACTTATGTGGTCCCTTCCCAGATGCTCTGCGTCTAACATGGACCAGGAATGACTTTAGAGGGGATATAGACAGGCAATGAGTTTGTATGTGTGACTTCAAGGTCCATGCATGCCATAGAGACCTTTCAAGGTATAGAATAATGTAAAGTGGGAAAAGAAAAAGTGCAAGAAGTTTCCATTTGTATTCTTACTCCAGATCCCACAGCTGTTAGGGGCAGGCCTGCCCTTATGTGATGATATTCTTGATTGTCAATGGCCTATGGGAATAAGAACCTAGGAAAGAACCTTACAACCATGGTCAGAGGGATCCACTCCTCCTGCAGGTTGCCCTGCCAAATATTGACATACTAATAGCTCATTAGGCAAGTGAGTATGATGATCTAAACATATTGAACCACATAATTCCCACAATTGATAACTGTGGCTTGAAATGCCTATACTGTTTATATAAAATGTAGGGTTTTTTTTGCCAGTCCTGGGGCTTGAACTCAGGGCCTGGGCACTGTCCCTGAGCTTCTTTTGCTCAAGGTTGGCACTCTACTACTTGAGCCACAGAGCCACCTCTGGCAAAATGTAGTTTCTACTGAATATCTACTTTCCTTCTGAAACTGATGTACCATAGGCTGAATACTCCCTACATTACTAGGCCCAATAAAATCCCTGAGTACTGTCGCTAATGTTTCCATGATTGACATTTCACACACATTATCACAACTCATTTCAGAGGAACTAAGTCATCCTGTGACTCCAGAAATGACTTAGAAAGTTGTACCTGGTACCTCCCACTTAACTTCATGTGCCATTCCTGCTGTTGGCTGCCCCTGATATGCTCCTGACAGTAGTTTCGGGGACCTTTGGCACACACACACACACACACACACACATACACACACACACACACACACACACTCACTCACATCTTGTACTTCCAGGGAAGATCTGGGACATCAAGGCCCTGCTACTGGACTAGGCTAATGAGCTCAAGCCATGAGTAGCATTGCTAATCCTCCTGCTTTCAGTCTTTCATTTTCACAAACAGCTTTGAAGGCCTTCTAAGATGCAGAGGTGGGTTCTTAGGGGAGGAACTACTGACAGTGAGATGGAGATAGCAGCAAGTTCATCTGACTCAGTGCAAAACCTCTTAAATTCTAAAGTACAGGATTGGACACTTGGCTTTCCCTGACTCAGATATCCTTCTCATCCTGTTTGAACACTAAAATCACAGGAAACCCAACTAACAGAACCACTTTGTGTCAAGTAGGAAGGGATCTTAGAGCAATTTTACCAAAAGGAAAACTAAGGCCCAGATGAGTTATGGAAATGCTATTTTCCCCATACAGTACATGTATTTATCATCACTGTTTTTTCATGTCATTATCTCTCCCACATTAGGTCAAGAAGTCCTGGATGGTGATGTTCCACTTAGGCATTGTATTGACAGATTAGCTTACCATAGGTTATATGGCTCATTGGGGCAGAAAAGAGATATGATTCCAGGTCTCTTATCTCCCAGAGCAATGCTTCTTGCTTGGGGTAAGCTATGGTACACAGTACTGACAAAATTCCATGCAGTCCAAACCCTTGGGCCCAGAGTGAGAAGCATCCAAATTGGAATCAACATGCACAAAATGGGTCCTCAACAATACTCCAGTTAGCAGAATCCCCACACTTGGCCCTATTTCTCTGATCTTGGATTTCTCTTTTTCTTTTTTTTTCTATTTCTTTTTGTCAGTCATAGGGCTTGAACTCCAGGCTTGAGCACTGTCCCTCAGATCTTCAGCTCAAAGTGAGCACTCTACCACTTGAGCCACAGTGCCACTTCCGGTTTTCTGAATGCTTTATTGGAGATAACATTCTCACAGAATTTCTTGCCCAAGCTGGCTTTGATTTGTGATCCTCAGATCTCAGCCTCCTGAGTGGCTAGGATTACCGGCATGAGTCACTGGTGCCTGGCTCTTGGATTTCTTAATTTCTGAAAGCACATAGAGCTTGTTCACTGACTGGCCAGCAGTCAGTACACCAGATGGAACCAGCTCCAAGACTCACACCTTTATTCTCAATAGAAACAGGAAATAAGCACAAGGACAGCAATAGCTAAGAGAGATGCTTTAACTTTATAAAAATGTGGTAATATAGCAATTTTTCCTGGAAAGTACAGTTTATAAAAAAAACACTTGGAATAAAAATGAAAAACATGACCTAATAAAGCATTTCAAGCATTTCAAGAAAACAAATTAATTACAAAAACAGTAAAAGGAAAACAGTAAGTAGCAAATGCAGCAGAGACATGGAGAACAAGTTGGTTCTGTTGTGAAAACAAAAGGGAAGGCCAGGTAAGCCTGGCCATTCATGCCTGGCAGGAGTGGGGAGCGGGGGGGGGGGGGGGGGGGGGGGGGGAATTGGCAGTAACTATCCAAGAGGCATGAAGCCTTTGCAAATGGACCAGACTGATGACTGCTGGCTCAGTGCGTGAGGAGGACACAGGCCTCCTGCCAATAGGCCCATCACAACCCCCTCTTACAGGGCCTATTGGCCCCATGTCAGTGATCCATAGTCAAATCCTAAAGAACTGGCACTGTAAAGATTTTCTACCTCCTCCTTTTATTTGTCCTAATCTATAACCCTACAGGTCAGAAACTCAAGATGTTAACCTGAGCATGTGTTTCAAACTTGCTAGAGAGGACCAAGAAATTTAGATGTAGAGGGTTTTACTCAAAGAACTTCTTGGAATAGCTGCACCATAGGCAAGGCAGAGTCAAGACCACTTTGGGGAAGCAAGCCAGGAAGGACCCTAGCAACATTCCCCTAGAGGGAAAAGACATCCCAAATGGTACTAGGTGAATTCTTGACTACATTCTGAGGTAGTCTAATCACAAAAAGTTGGAGGAAGGGAGGGCCAAAAAGTTGCCACAGAGCAGTGACACTCTGAGGTGAAGGGTGTCTATCACAAATGTCTAGCCCCTGCCACTGTCTCAAATCAAAATGGTCACGAACCAGAGCTTTAGGTTGAGGATTCCCAATGTTCCCTTCAACTATAGTCCTCCAAAATGGACATGCTATGGGAACCAATACTGCTAGACTTTGCCTTGATAAACATTTAAGAGGTCCCTGCAGGTAAAGGAGTAATTATATCTCAAGCCACCACTGAGAGAAATGATAAGAACAAAAAGAAAAGTTGGCCTACTCTTCTTTTAATGCTAATTTAGATTCCTTTTCTCTTCTGCCCCAACCTTTAGAATTCTAAGACAGGTTAGAATGTTCTGAAGGCTTAGGAGACAGTAGTTGTGTGAAAATGCACTAGTATTTTCGCTGCTTTCCACATTTCCGTGAACGTCTTCTAGGACGGAGCTCACCAAAGTCTTCAACTTCATTCTCATAATCATCTTCCTGAACAATACCTATATGACAAAAAAAAGTGAAGTCGTTTTTTCTTATTCCACTATTAGACCCTAGTAAAACATTATTTCTATAATGTTGTTTAAAGAAATAAAACCTCCTACTAGAATATCAAAGAGAAGTTTCTTTTGAGTATTGTTATTTCTTCTCAAGAACAGTCAAAGTAAACACTCTTCTCCAGAATTAAGTTATTTATATGCTTGTTCCTCTAGTCTTAATTTGAAGGCTTTTTTAAATGACAAATCAAGTAAAATCTAAACCACATTCTTAACTTGGTGTAACAATTATCTTCTTTTGGAACAATCATAGTTATCAGAAGGGACTACATGTTAAACATTTTTGTAATAGTACAAACATTTAAGCCAAATTCTTCCCCCCCCCCTTGGAGGTAGCATCTGGATTAGGACTTGGGAGAACAATTGAAGCTGTTAAATACTTGGAGCAGAAAGAAATGTGATCCAGCTGAGAGGGGATAAAAGTTGAAAAGGGCAAGAAGAAAGACATTCAGATCATACAGAATTGACAAGAAAATTCTGACTACCAGCAAAGAAACCTGAATCATCTATACAAACCTACAATGCTCTCTAGGAAGATACCTAAAAGATTCCCTCAATGACTTTGCTTTGTTCACAAAACAAATAGATACACACTAGAAACTCAATGAACACCCACTGACTTAATGGCTGGCCCAGGTAAACATATTCATCAAGGGATGACTTTGCCGTACTTTATCCTTGGAAGTCACAGTAATGAGTATGCTCAATGACTAATGCCATCAATAACAGCTCATAAACAGAAAAAGAAGTTTTTAACTATTAACATGAGCCCAGAGTAATGGCTTTCATAGACAGCTGACTAATTGTGTTACTAACAGTTTGACTTATGAGGAAGCAAAGGGCCAGTCTTGATATCTCTGACAGCCTATACACTCATCTAGAACCCAGGAATAAAAAAAAAATAGGGCCAAAAGTGTCACCTGTCCCTACAGTAAAGAATTTCTTACCTTCTTCCTTTAAGTGGTGCTCTGTCTTCATCAGCCAATCCTGTGCATCCCTGACTGACAGGGCTAGAACTCTGATCCGCTGAGCCATTGCCTCTTCCGCTACAGAAATGAAAAACAAAAAAACAGGGGCTCAGCATGAAGAGGCAGTTACAGATGCTAGAAAATTAAGTACTAGTATGATGTCCTGTGCTCCAAGAGCTAGTCTGTGTTTTCCTAGGAAACAGCCTTCCTTGCTGAGTAAGAGGCCCAAAGCTGCCTTTTGCTGCCACAAGTAAAAATTGCCTGTAAATAGTGGTCCAACCTCGTTATTGAGTATCTTCTATAAGACTGCCAACAGAAAAGCCTTCCAAGGAACCCTGGGTTCAAAATGTCTTTAAATCCTTCACTAGAAAGAGTATCTGCATTATAAAATATTTTAAAAATGAAATTCCACTCATTTTATACATGTAACTTCTATTCAGTGTTGCTAAGAAGTAGATAGCTATGAGGAAGCTAGGTCAAAGCTGATTCTAAGGCTACATAGAATGCTTACTCAAGACACACTGGGTAACATAAGGCAATATCATAAGACAAAACTATGTACTTCCAGTGATGATTATAGAATTTACTACATGCTAGATACTCAAGGAAAGATCACTGAAGGAATGAATCAGAGGAACCTCAAAAAAGTTTTCTAAATATTTTAAACATTCTCCTGATAACCTCTCCATAGTATGAATTAGCAAACTGTGTTCCTAACTGCAGCACTGTAATTTGAGAAGGAATATTCTTTAGTCATAGTTCTGCTAATACCAACATTACATCACTACAAAGAACTTAACTCTCAGTATCTGACAGGCCCTTACCTTCAGCCCAGGCCTTTCGCCTATAGAGCTCCTCCACCAAGTCTGAAACCCTTCTGATATGCTCCTGAATCTTCCTCTGCAGCATGTGGCTGTGCTCTTTGGAGCCCAGGTGACTGTGGACCCACACGCTCTCCTCTATGTCCTGCACTACTAGTTTGCCTTGACTAATGGCCGGGTCCACCTTCTCATGAAAAAATTCTAAGTATTTCTGGTAGGCCACTTGCTGCTTCTGGTGACTCTCCAGACTGATGTGCTGCTCATAAGACTCACTGCTCCTCTCCCGACATTCCTTCCCTTCTAGCTCTGCCCTGGAAAGGATGGCAACCTCTGAGGTTGCTCCCTCAAACACTTTGCTGGGGCCAAAGTAGCTATCAGATTTGCGAGTGAACTTCACGCCACAGAGGTCACACTGGGTCCTGTCCACATCAGCCCTTTTGAAGTTGCTGGCCCCAGGCTCCCTGACCTCCTCATTGGTGTGCTTAGTCTGGACCCATCTCTTCCAACTAATGCACAAAGACACCACCAGGCAGGTTCTTCTGAGTTTACGTTGGATGGAGGCCTTCCACTGCTTTTGAGAAAGGATGGCAGCCAGAATGTGATCTCGATCTTCCAACATCACCTCATCTGTCTCATCCTGACTAAATTCACACTCAAGTTCACTAAAGTAGTCCACAGGACCCACACAGAGCAAGCGGTTTAGTCTGACCTCCTCATGACAGAGGCCATGGACCACAGACCCTTTAGTATGAGCACTGTCCCACCGCCAGTGGCAGTCCATCAGATACTCTTCATCTCGCTCAAAGAGTAGGTCCTGGAGTGCTTCAGCCACAGACTTCACACTGACTGCCATTAACACTCGCCGTACAACCTTCCGAAGCCTCTCAGGAACCTGGTTAGGCCAGTCCATGCTCATTAGCTGCAGCCTTGTCTCAATCTCCTGGAAGTGGCGGTACAAAAGTGGCTTGCAGAAGGGCTGGAGGATCTCTTCAGCATTTACCAACATAACCAAGCATAGCACCAGTGCCCGCTCAGCCTCACCTGAGACCACATAGTCTATTTCACCAAAGGCATCAAGCAGGACATTGAAGTTCACATTCTCATAGCCACATAGCACCTTGACAAGATAGGAGAGATGAAATCGGAAGTCTTGAATGGCTCTATTTACATCCTTTGGCTTGTATTCCTGAATGATGGAAAACACGTCCCCAACCTCTTTGTCCTTCTTGCTAGACAGGAACTCCCAGTAGTGCAGGAGTGCAATATAGCTTTTGGGGAGGCACAGAACAGAATTCTTCCAGAGGCGGACCAGCACCACCCCACAGTGGACAAACTGGAATTCCAACAGTGCCACCGTGTTGCCAATGCTGGGGATAAGTGGCTCTTTGCACCTCTTGATAAGGACATTCATGAAACGGAAAAAGAGCCTCTTGTAATCTTCTGGATTCCTGTGCACATACAGCTGGTCAATGGAATTCTCCAGCAGCCGGATGAAGCATAGGTAGATCTTCTCTGTACTCTCATCCTCCTTGTTGGGCACTAGCATGCCAAATTTTCCTTCTATGCCCTTCATGCGGCTGCTTCTCCCCCTGCCCTTTTCCTCTTTGTTGGACTCCAGAGCTTTCAGCTCCCTGTTATAGTTGTCCTCCTCCTGGTAGAGCAGCTTCTCAAACTCCTCTGGGTAACTGGAGGAGAGAAGGAAAGCCTGCATGGCACTCAGCCACAGGTCTGTGGACTCACGGCGATTGCGTGCGCTTTCTTTTTGAAACAGATCACGGACGTATGCTTTCAGGGCAACTCTATAGAATCGGAAAGATTTGTAATTTGGCTTGAGGATTTCTTTACATGCCATAGGGTTTTCTGACAGCACTCTCTGATGGAAATGTCTAGGGAAGAGAACATTTAGGAAGGATTTGCAAAGGCTATACATATCTGAAGACAAAATACAATCTATTTCTTCAAGTTCTTCAGTTAAAGTTTTAGGAAATACTTTTTTGGCTTCCAAAAGCAATCCATTGATTGCCACTAGGTGCATTTTCGACTGAACCATACATTTGGCCTCACAGCGCCTCAGAGGCCTGTGGAAATCTTCACAGTTTTCATCTTCACATTTTAAGCCAGCAATAAACCTCATGCAGACCTCTGGGTAGCTCCTTCCAAGCAGGCTGTGTGTAATGTGACACAGTCTGCTCAAAAGGTGCTTGTTTAGGGCTAATTTCACTTGGTCAGTCATTATCATAAAATAATCTTTAGTTTTCCTCTCTCTTAAGTTCAAGTCTAGGTGGTCAAAAATTATTCTCAATATGGGCCCAGGATCATTCTGCGCTATCTGGCAATACTTGGTATCTACCTGGGAAATTCCAAAAAACTCAAAGCAAGACTTGACCATTTCTTTCTCAGCATTGTTGGTCACTCTTTTGAGAGCTTTGACTAGATTAAGAAGGACTTCCAAGCCCCATGGAGCCAGAGCTAGAACCTTCTCAGGCTCAGCTTCACACTGGCTGACTGCTTCATAGAGTGCTTCCACCACTCCAGCTGAATGGTTAAGCATGTCAAACTTGAGGAAGGCATCTTTGAGCTTCTGAAAGTCTTTCAGGATAACTCCCTGCAGGAACTGGGCCTCAGCAATGCCAGAGAGCTGACTAGTTTGATAGCAAAGATCAAGTGCTTCTCTTAGAATGGTCTTAGTATGTTCTATGTCAGAATCTCTAGCCACATTGAGGCGAGCAGCCCCCAGCAGACACAAGGCCTGGAAGTCCTTGTCAGCAGTGAGCCTAGCAGCCTCCAGGAGGCAGCCATGTTGCTTCAACAACAGGGCAGCCTCTTCTCTCCGACCCTCTCTGTTCAGCAGGTCTGCAGCCTCTGCTAGGCATTTTCGAGACTTCAGGAACACCAGCTGATCTTCTACATCTAACTTGGAAAGGACAGCCATCATTTCTTTGGTCTTATTTGCACTCAGGTACTTTGCTGCAGCTTCCAAGTAAAACTGACTAGCAGAATAGGAGAGCTTAGAAACAGGAAAGGTCTTGTTCTTTAGCATTTCTTCATATCTGCAAAGACAGAATACAAATGTCACCTAACTGTATCTTCCAAAGTACAATAGAAAGCTACTTAAATAAAGCTCCTACATTCTAATATTACAAAATAGGACCTAAATATGTAAAGCATCAAGGCATTATTAGCACTAATAAACAATAAGTTCTCTTCAAAGAAATCAAGTATTCCTCTACTTGGTTGGTAAAGTTGCAACTCAAGGAAGTAGGAGTTAGATCTGAAATTATTCTTGAATAGCCAGGCACTGGTAGCTCATGCTTGTAATCCTAGCTACTCAGGAAGCTGAGATCTGAGGATTGTGGTTCAAAGCTAGCCTAGGCAATAAAGTCCATGAGACTCTTATCTCCAATTAACCACCAGAAAATCGGAAGTGGCTCTGTGGGTCAAGTGGTAGAGCGCTTGCCTTGAGCTGAAGAGCTTAGGGACAGCACCCAAGCTCAGAGTTCAAGCCCCACAACCGATTAAAAAAAAATCTTCGGTTCTCATAATAGCATGATAACCATTGTAGATATATACACTAATGGGAAAGGATAAAAAGGGATGCTACATACACACATTATTGGTTGATTCAGGCTTTGCCTTATATACAATTTGTATATTCTCCCCTTTTTCCAGGTATGTATGCAGTTGGAATCTAATGAAAGAGAGACTAATGAAATTCTGGAGTCACTTTTATTCTACTGATCAGTCAGTTTTACTTGTTACAAATACAGTGCAACCCCCCTTTATTTTTTTTTATTTTTTTATTTTTGGGTCCGGTCGTGGGGCTTGAACTCTGGGCCTGGGCACTGTCCCTCAGCTCTTCAGCTCAAGGCTAGCACTCTACAACTTGAGCCACAGCACCACTTCTGGTTTTTTCTTTTTGCTTATGTGGTGCTGAGGAATCGAACCCAGGGCCTCAGGCATGCAAGGCAAGCACTCTACCACTGAGCCACCTTCCCAGCCCAAGCCCCCTCTCTTAATAACACTGTTATTAAGCTTATGAAGAGTGGGAAGTACAGACTCCTGCTCCCAGTACCACAGCCACCACTTAAGTGAAAGGAGGTAAACATGGTTAAGCCACTACAGAAGTTACAGGATGAGCTGCCCCCAGAGAGAGGTAGGGGAGAGAGGGAAATGCAAGGGAATAAAGCCACCTACTTTTCCACTGCAACAGCAGCTTCCTCAAAAAGCTCCTCTTGGCAGTACATTTTGAGAGCTAGATCAAATTCCTGAATCTGCTCAAAGCATCTGAAAGCATCTTTGTAGCACTGGCTTCGCTTATAGAAATACGCAGCATCTCTTATCTAGGACACAGTAAAATTTTCCCTTAGAGATTCATAACTTTTACTTTCTGCCACAAACAGAATTTTAGGGGTCCATCCCTCAGTCTGCTCAAGTGAAACCAATTCTCCTACAAGTAGCTGTGGGCTGGAAGCCATACCTTTCCAAGCCTCTCACACAACTGGGCAGAGAGCTGGAACTCCTTGGCATAGTTTAGACACTTAAGGGACAGCTTTGGCTCATTGCATTCCAAATAGGTCTTAGCCAGTTCCAAATACTCCAACTGCTTTTCCCTATGGGAAGGAAAACAAAACAGTATTTTCATGAAAGACTGACCTAATACCAATATATATTTATCCTATTATTTTCATCAAAACATACCTGAAATGATCTAGAGACACTTACTTGGGGCTGACTTTCTTGGATTTCATGTTCAGGGCAGTGTTGTGGGCCAAGGCCAACTTTTCCTTCTCAAATGCACCTCCTTTCTGGTAACACTTGGCTGCAACCTGGAATGTGCCAAAGGTTTTGATTCCCAGAAAAATAACAGCAGTGACATAAAGAACAGGAGTTAAAGCATGCACTATGTTCATGTGGACAGAGCTCTGCATCTCACCCTGCCCAATCTGAGGGGGAGGAGAAGGAAGGTGTAGGCATGCTAAGAGGAGTCTCAGAAGACTCAGCCTAGCAGTGTGGCCAGCTAACACATCCAAAGGGTTCATTAGGAAGTATCTAGAAGCCACAGAAAGGGTCCATGCTACATATTTCTATAGGCCATCACAATAACACTCTGCTTAATCTTCCCACAGCCACATGCAAGAGTCATCATCCTCTCCATTGCAAATAGTACAATGGTCACAGCCACTGGAGCAGCTGGCCAAAATCAACCAGAGGCTTTTCTGGGCTTTGACATATATACTAACTACAATGACTACCTGTGTGCTGGTGAGACAGCCATAGTACAGGTAGTAGTGGTAGAAATGGAGTAGCAATCACTGAAACCATAGCATACCCAGCTCCTGTAAGCATGCAGAACTATGTTACCAAACCCTCTCACTATGAGGTATGCAGATAAGTGTTACAGGGAAGTCAGCCTGAACCCTGATTCTGGCCAGAAGAAAGCTATTTTTCTAAAGCAGGAACATTTGCACAAATTCTCAAAGCACGAGCCACAAGAGCAGAAATTTCACATTCTGCTCCATATTGGGTCTTAGTGAGGGCATAGGAGGAACTTACAGACACTTTCTGATAGTGGACAAGTTGGTCTCTCTCTACCTCATGCTCTTTGTTCCAGATTCCCCAGCCCCATAAGCCTCCTTTCATTTCTGTGGCCTGCACCATACTCCTCAGCATAGGGCCTTTGAATTCACTGTTCCTTGTATCCTTTCTCTGCCTAATTAATTAAATTTATTCATTATACAGATCTCAGATCAAGACTCCTTTTCTTAAAGAAGGCTTTCCTGGCCTTCCTATTCAGAACAGAAGCTCTGGAAGCTGCTGCTCTCTTACGTATGATGCCTGAAACAGCTAGAACTGTGCCCTCACTCCCCTGTGTGCCTACTTTGCTCACCATCTTATTCCTGGAATCTAATATTGTTTGGCCCATAGCTCAACAAGTATTTATTGAATGAATGATCTTGTATGGTGGTTTTGAAACATTCATTGACATGCAGCCAAAAACTCAATAAACCACCTGAGTCCTGAAGTCCTTTAGCAGGGTCAAAATAAAGTCAGGCGAGGAGGACTTTTATAACATTCTCATCTGTGCCGGCTCCCCTAAAAAGATTTTAGATTCAAACATTCAAAAGTGTTTTTAAAGGGGTAAATAATTGGAAATCCATGAATAACACATATGAGCAACACCAGTGGTGTTCTGAAAGGAATAAAAGTAGGATTTGATACAGTTTTACAATTTCATACTGATATCTGCTGCCCATATCTCTCTCCCTTCCCTCCCTAAAGCCCACCCTCCACCCTATCAATGAAATCTTGCAAATATTCAGCATTTCTTTCCAATTATAACACTGAATAAAGTCTGAAACTCAACTTCTACAACTAAATATTACATATTTTTAAAACTATTTTCTGTATGTCAAACCTACCACAATACAAATTCTGTCTTCTCCCCTCATATTATAATGACAACAGTGGTCACAGTCCTTTATTCTTCCTTGTCTCTACCCATACCCCTTTACAATTAAGGTAGTGACTTCTCCTGTCAGGAGAGCTCCTTGTCTACCTCTTTTCCAATGTGGATTTTGACTGGTTTAGTCAACAGAACCCAGCAGAAGTGATACTGGACCAGCCAAGACCAGGCCTCAAAGGGATAAAAGTATTTCTGCTTACTTTAAACAATGGTATCACAAGGACAAAATCAGACTAGTCTGTTGGAAAATGCAAGACAGTGATCCAGGAACCTATGATTCCATCACAGGAACCAAGAACCACCCAATTCCCGGAAGTAGATACACCCAGCTGAATGGGACCTGAATGTAGACATAGGAGTTCCCTAGCTGAATCAGAAGAGCTACTAAGTTGAATTCACACTGACAACCTGAAAGATCAGGAGCAACATGAACACTGAGTTTGAGGGCTGTTGTACAGCTTCAGTGAACTGAAAAACCTCAGATGTGAGTTGTTTGCTATAGATGTAAACCTTCTTCCCTGCCACAGCTGGTAACTCCTCTAAGAATTGAGGCTTTGGGAATTCTTTCTCATAGTTATATAGACCGAATAGCTCACCTATGACTTTTGGTCAGTTCTGACTTGTAGGCATCACTCACAATTGTCTAGTCCTTTCACTGAGGCCTAGCTCCATGAAACTCCAGGGAGAAGAAGGATCCCTGGAGCATCAGAATAAGCCCTCCAGAGAAATCATTGTCTCAATAAACATCTGTTAGAAGTGGAAGAGAAAGCATAGCCACTTGCCTTGTGACCCTTAAGGAGCTTAACCCCCAATACGTGCACTAAGGCCAGAAGTAAAGGAAATCATCTGCCAAAACTCAGCCCAGCTATTCTTTCAGGAAGCATCCTTGCAGTTTCTGGCAGAGGCATTCAAAAAAAGGCAATCAAACCCTAGCAAAGTACATTTCTGTGGGGCTCTGACTGTGGCAGCAAACATTGTTAGTTACTACAGCACTCTCCTCCCTTTCTTTCCAGATGGAAGAACTTATAATCCATTAAGGGCTGAAACTGCCAAATGCCTTTGCAGCTGGGAGGGGGCAAGTGACCTAGCACTGACCAATTAAAAGCATGAGAACATTACATTTTTCATATTCTCAGCCATTATTCAACAATGATGAGGAACATCTCTGACAAGCTGCAGATGACACAGGAAGAGATGCAAAAAGATTGAGCACATGTTGATTTCTCTGAACTGCAAAATCAATCCTGCAATCAGACATCTTGTTATTGGATTTTTTTAAAGTTAACACTGTTCTTCTAGAAGGATATTCACAGATCGCAGGTGAAAGCATCCCTACTACCTTGTAGGAGACATGTGCCCGTGGTGCCCACTTGAAACCCTGTGATGTGTAAGGTTTCTGACCGTGGGCTCACTACAGAGCATTTTCTAGAAGACAACTATTTAAGTTCACCAAGACAGCCTGAGGTTAGAAGTCAGTCATTGAAATATAGAAGCAAAGTTTTACCATGCTTACACTCTTCAGATTAGCAGCAAAATCTATGGCTGATTCATTTCAAAAGGCAAACATTGACAAACCTTTTACTATTTTACAATGCAGTATGATAACAAAAGTTGTGTGCGGGTGTGCCGATTCAGGGCCTAGACACTGCCCCTAAGCTTTCTTGTGGAAGACTAGTGCTCTACAGTTTTGAGCCACAGCTCCACTTCTGGCTTTTTTTTGGTGATTAATTGATGATAACAATCTCACATAGTAGTGCTGTGGCTCAAAGTGGTAGAGCACTAGCCTTGAGCAAAAGAGCTCACTCAGGGACAGCACCCAGATCCTGAGTTTAAGCCCCACAAACAACAATGACAGCAAAAAAGAAAACATGGGAGGGGATGAAAGAATCTCACTATCTTTCCTTCCTGGGCTGGCTTTGAACCAGGATCCTCAAATCTCACCTGGTGAGTAGGTAGAATTTACAGGAATGAACCACCACTACAACAAAAGCTTTCAAGCATAGAAGAAAAAGAAAATAAATAGGAAGCTTCCTTGTTGGAGAAAGGCCAAAATGAAGGTTGTCACACCTCCACTAACAAGGGAAGGAACAAGACATGAGCTCTCCTCATCTCCAGAGTACCCTGATGGTTCCAAAGAAGTGGCACACACACCTTTATCCTCACCCTGTCCTGCTGACATGTAATAGTGGGAGATTTGCCTTTGAGGCTTGACAAGGATAACAACTGCAGAGACCCCTCACCCCTGGCTTCTGGCCCAGCTCCTTACCTTCCAGCACTGGTGCTTAGCATAATACTCTCCTTGTGCAATCCACTCCTCAGGAGTTGATGTCTTGACAAACATGCTATCATCAAAGTCTAAAATTAAAATAAAAAGTAGGTTTGCTTTTCTGGGCAATCATTCATTTACTTATGTTATGGCTGAATTGTGTCTTCCACACACCACTCCAAATTTCATGTACTGAAGGCTTAATCTCTATTATCTCAAAATGTAACTGTACTTGGAGACCTTTAAAAAGATGATTAACTTAAAATGAGGCTTTCCTGGTGGGCTCTAATCCAATCTCTCCTTGTGAAGAGAGAAAATTAAACACACACACACACACACACACACACACACACACACACACAGAGTAAGGAATGGGAGAAGGAAAGAGTGAATCAATGAAGATGATGAAGATGATCATCTACAAGCCAAAACAGAAAAATCTTTGAAGAAAGAAATCAACTCAGCCAACTCCTTGTCCTTGGACCTCTAGCCACTACATACTATGGGAAAATAGATTTCTGTTGTTTAAGCCAGTTAGTCTATGGCATTTTTTATGACAACCACAATAGGCTAACACACCTATGTTATCTTTCTACTCTTTGTTTAAGATATATTTCATTGCCAGGTGCTGGTGGCTCACGCTTGTAATCCTAGCTACTCAGGAGGCTGAGATCTGAGGATTGCAGTTCAAAACCAGCCCAGGCAGAAAAGTCCGTGAGACTCTTATCTCCAATTAACCACCAGAAAACTGGAAGTGTTGCTGTGTGGCTCAAGTGGTAGAGGGCTTGCCTGGAGCTAAAGAGCTGAGGGACAGCACCAAGGCCCAGAGTTCAAACCCCACATCCGACAAAAGAAAAACAAAAAGAAACATTTCAGCTTACAAAGCCAGGTTGCATGGGCAGGTTTAAGAGAAGAAGGTATAGGTGAGAAAGGATATGGTTTTGTTTTTAAATTTTGGTCTACTTTCCTTTTCTCAACAATTAAAAAAATTTCATTAACACACACACACACACACACACACACACACAAATACAAATAGCAATTACTAATTCCTCCTTAAAAAGCTAAAGCCAGATATCTCTTAGTAAGTAGCTTGGTGAGGAACAAAGTAACAGGATATTTGTACATAGTACAAATGCTATTTGATTTATGATGAAGTTGTATTCTCATGGTAAATTAAAATACTGTAACTCAAAAATGAGTTAATACATCTAATCCACCAAATATCATGGCTCAGCAATACATTGAACTGTGTAGTGCTACTCATTCACTGAGGCTGCATGGACTGGCAGCTTTGGCTCACTGCTAATGTCTAGCATCTTCAGAGTAATGTACCACATCATATCACATACTAGGGAAAATTTTTGAAAAAAATTTTGAAAAATTCAAAATAGTTTTTATTGAATATGATCATTTTTGCACCATTGTAAAATTGAGAAATCTCAAGTCAAACCATCATAGATCAGGCACCACTGGTATTTCCAAATGTACAGATTTTGCCCTGATCAAAGTAAGCATTCTAACAAATTTTTAATTTTATTTTATTGAAAAGAGGGTTACAGTTACATAAGTAAGGTAATGAATACATTTCTTGTCAAACATTGTTACCCACTCCTTTGTTTTTCTCCCACTATTTTTATATTTATTTTTATTATCATTAAATGGTATAAAGTTTCACTTCCACACATCAATTTATGAGGACAATACTCTGACACATATATGTTGGTGGAAACAGACTACCAAAACCAATCTGCAATCTGTCCTATCTGTTCCACTCTAGCCTGCCGCTGATTCTCTGGCCCTTAGAGTATCACCATATGAGTAACAATGCACAGCTTCATGAAACATAATGGAAAGACAATGAATGTTAGGACAATGCTGACAGCCAAAATAGAGATATCTAGTCCAGTGAAGAGCAACCAATGGGGCAAGGCAGGCATATTTAGAAGGTGTAAAAACATATATTAAACTTCATAATTGATCCCGCCCTGCTCTCCCTCTGCTCGTTTCCTGAGGAATGGTGCAATGATGATGGTACAGGTCTTGTTCTGACTTCATGGTACTATTACTGACTTACTGAAATTTCATTCACTCAGCAAAACCCTTCATTACCTCTGAAGAAAGTAATGAAGTCTGTAGGCACCATGCTGAAGAAATGCAACTTCTAATAGTCACCGCACTCACTCCCCCACCATTCCCCTGCACAGTAGAACCACATGCAGCTATATTTATAAGTAAGACTATACTTGCTCTTCTTGCATTCCTAATGCTACCAAAAGACATACATTGAATGCCCATTTTAATATCTTGTTAATCATATTTGGGGGTTATAAGGAGTATGCACTACAGGAAAGATTGCTAGGGTCAACTCATTCCTTTTCCTTTTGCTGAGGAAGCAAATACCAATGGAGAGAAAGTATAGCCTAAACAAGGTTATGTAACTACTCAGGTAGAGAGGTTTTTGGAGAAGACAAGTTTTTCAGGTCTTAGAAAAGAACAACTAATCCTGGTCCCAAACTAAGTCACCAAAATAGACTTCAAGAAACCAGCTGAGAAATATTCAGAAAACCTAAAAACCCTACAGTGACCAAGTCCTTCCCCTACCTTAGAGACTGAATAACTGATCCTCAAGAAATACGGTAATTAGGATGATAGGCTCACACCTATAATCCTAGCTACTCTGGAGGCAGAGACTGCAAAAATCATAGTTCAGGTTCAGCCCCAGAAGAAGTTTATTAAACTCCCATCTCAATGTGTCTGTCATTCCAACTATGTAGAAAGCATAAATAAGAGGATCACAGTCCCAGCCAGCCCAAAGGTTTCAAAGTAGTAGAATGCTTGCCTAGCAAGAATAAGACCCTAAATTAAAAATCCCAATACTAAGAAGAAAAAAAGGGGGAGAGAGGGGAAAGTTGAAAAGGGAAGGAAAAGGGAGAAGGAAGGAGAAAGTAATTTTCTCCTTCATGAAGGGTGTTTATTTCTCCTGTCTGGAGAACTTCAGTTCATTTTTTAATTAGTCTTTGCAAATTATATAAAATAATACATAACAATGACTTCTGTAAGCCCTGTAAACAGCACAAAAGGTATAAAAATGAGAAGTTAAAAATGTGCATAGCTGGGGGCCAGGATGGTGCTGCAGCTGCCTATGTTTGATCCTGTGAATTTCTTGGGGAGTGAGTACAAAGATCCTCTTAGAACTTCAAGTCCTCTGGATTGGAGTGAAAGCCATGCTTTCAGAATCATCTTTTCATTGTCACCAGCAAGAAAGAATGGAAGGATCTCTGAAGCTGGTGTCATTTGATGATTTGTCTGTGGACTTTAGCTGGAAGGAATGGATGGACCTGGACATTGCTCAGAGGACCTTGTATAGAGATGTAATGCTGGAGACCTACAACAACCTGGTGTCTTTGGATTATACCAACATCAAATACAGTGAAAACAAGGGAGGGACATACACAGCAACAAAGAAATTATCCTATAAATATGTTAGAAACAATAGCAATAAAGAAACATTTGGGACTCATATCTGATAAACTTACTCAGAAAACCAGAAGTGGTACTGTGGCTCAAGTGGTAGAGCACTAGCTTTGAGCTGAATTGCTGAGACAGCACCCAGCGTTTAAGCTTCACGACTGATAAACCTATCAGTTTGGGTCTGGCCCTTAACTTCTTGGTATTCTATTATGACATTCTGAACTCCCCAGAGGAAGCTAGCTTTCTTGTAAAGACAGCTTTTGATGAAGTCATTGCTGAACTTGATACATTAAGTGAAGAGTGGTTCAAAGACTGCATGCTAATAATGTAGTTACTAAGAGAAAAGTTGACATTGTGGATATGATAACCAAGGAGATGAAGTGAAAGCAGGAGAAGGAGGTGAAAATAAAATGACCTTCCAACTTTTATCTGCCTCATTCTAAAATTTATACAGTAGACCATTTGTCATCCATGCTGTCCCACAAATAGTTTGTTGTTTAGGATTTATGACAGGTTTATATTGCTTTTATTTGAATTTCTGTATTTCCCAGGGTTTTTTGTTGTTTTTAATATTAGGGGAATAGATATTGCCCGTAAACATTTAGTGAGTTATCTGTTTTCATCTTCAAATGACCAATATGAGGATGTAGAATTTTTATACAAGTTGTAAATGTTTGGCATGTACTTTGGTACATGGTGACTTCACAAGGGCCAGTGTTAAAACTGCTTCCATGTCAAAGTGAAGAAATCTTCCTACATATTGGTTTATACTGGTGGGGAATAAAAGGGAAAATTGATTCCAAGCACAGGTGTAATTATTCTGGATATTAGAAAGTTTTGGAGCACTTGCAGGGCTGTGGTACAGACAGATATTCCATGGCTGTTACATGCTGGAATCATGTATTTCTGTGGAAGAGTCTATCTCAGTGTGCACACCTTAGACTACAGCACCAGAGTATTCTTTGAGACAAAGTTGTGTCCCAATTAACTCTGGATAAGTGCAGAAATGGTTCACATTCCATTATTTGTGATGTTACCTTCTGTTTGCTCTCATTATTTTTGCTACAAATTTTATTTGTATTTAAATGTTTTAGGCAACCTACGAACAAATGTAAAAATAAAGACGCAGTGAAAATGAAAAAAAAATGTGCATAGCTATTCAACGGCTCCATGCTAACCAATCCTAGCTCCAGAGATAACCACTATAAACAATTTATACCAAAAATAAGAGATGTAAAGATCCTGCTACCCATAATCAGGAGCTGAACAGATACAGATAAAGTCCTGACAATTCCTATTTCTGAATTCTTGTTTCTTGTTTTGTGAAACTCAGGAAATAAACAGAAAAGACATCTAGATATATGTTTAGATGCATATATATGTAAGTATTCTATTCTGTTGTATGTTAAACACAGTTTTTGTGTGTGTGTATGTGTGTGTTTGTGTGTGTGTGTGTGTGTGTGTGTGTGTGTGTGTGTGTGTGTATGCTCTGGTATGGAAGATTGAACTCAGAAGCTTTTGATCTCTCAACGTTTTTGCTCATGGGTGGTTTCCTACCACTTGACCCACACTTCCAGTCCAGCATTTTAAAATATAATCTTATTAAGATATTGTAAAGAAGATACGTAAGTCAGGTAATGAGTACATTTCTTTTTGAACAATGTCATCTTTTCCTTCCCTCTCCTCCAGTTTCCCCCTCCTGTCTCTGCCTACAAGTTTCATAGTACATTTTCCACATAGTATCTATTGAATACCATGACTGCATTTGTTCATCCTTCCTCCCTCTATTTCTTCACCTCTCCTCAAAAGACAGAAAGAATAAAAAAATCTAAAAGAAACAAAAACAACAAAACCCATGTTTCCATTTCCTCAAATTAATTTTGATAAATAGTATTTTAAGTGTTCACAGGTGTTATACCTTTGAGTTCCTCTCCTAAAAGCATCCTCTTTTATTCTCCCTGTTTGTGTGTGTGTGCCTAAAGTCCTGTATAATTTATCATGTCTCAGTGTATTTTAGATATATGAGAAAAAGCATGTGTCATTTTTCTCTCTGAGCTTGGCTTACCTCTTTTAATCTAATTTCTTCTAGGTCCATCCATTTCCCTACAAATGACATAATCTTATTCTTTCTAATGGATTAGTAAAATTCCATTGTAAGTACCGAATTTTTTGTCTATTCATCAATTGTAGGGCATCTGGGCTGTTTCTGAAATTTGGCTATTTTGAATAGTGCCGCACTGAACATGGATGTGCAAGTGTCTACAGAATCCTAACTTGTAATATTCTGGGTAGATGCCCAAGAGTGATGCAGCTGGGTCTCAGGGAAGTTCTATCCTTAGTTTTTTGAGGAACCACCAAATCACCACATCCCTGCCAGCATTTATTGTTCAAATTATCAATGTTGGCCGATATAACTAGGTTGAGATTGAATCTCAGGATTTGCATTTCCTTTATGGCTAGGGATACTGAGCATTTCTCCATATGTTTCTTTGCCATTTTTCCTTCTAAGAAGTCTCTCTTTAGCTCCTTTGACCACTTATTGACTGGTTTACTCATTTTAGGGGTGAGGGAGTTATTTCTTGAGCTCCTTGTATATTTTGGATATTAGGCCTTTGTCAGGTGGTTCACTGGTAAAGATCTTCTGGTAAAGATCTTCACTGGTAAAGTCTGTTGGTTATCTTTCTAGTTTAGTAACTATGCCCTCTGCTGTGCAAAAACTTATTTTGATGTAATCTCATTGAAGTCTCCTTTCTGCTGTGTCCCTGGGACTCTTTGCAAAGAGTTTCTGCTTATGCCTACAAATTCTAATGTTTTTCCTACTCTCTCTTGTAATTTCAAAGTTTCAGATCTCACATTGAGATCCTAAAAGTATTGAAGAGATTATCTTTTTTCCACCATATATCTTTGGCTTCCTTGTCAAATTTCTTTTTGGGTCTTCTAGTCTGTTCCATTAATCTTCAGGCCTATTTTTGTACCAGTTCCAAGCTGTTTTTGTTATTATAGCTCTTTGGTACTTGATGTCTGGGGCTGTGATATCACTAGCTTTTTTTTTTTTTTTGCCTAAAATTTCTTTGACTATTGAAGGTCTTCTGTAATTCCATATGAATTTTGGAGTTATTTTCTCTAACTTGTTAAAGAATATCACTGGGGTTTTGATGAGGATTACATTAAATTTGTAGGTCACCTTTTGCAGTATGGCCATTTTGACAATATTAATTCTACTTATCAGCATTTTGCTGGTGATTAGAGATAAGAGTATTGGAGATTTTATGTCCAAGCTGGCTCCAAACCACAATCCTTAGATCACATCCTTCTGAGTAGGATTATAGGTCTAATCCACTGGTACCTGGCTATATTATAGTTTTATTTGAATAATATATAGCTATTTAAAAATAAAATCATTCTACTTGTACTGCTTTATAGTTTCCTTTTGTCAACTAATAATATCTTGAACATCTTTCCATATCAGTAAACAGAAATCCTTGTTCTTTTTTTTTTGTGGGAGGGTGGGGTGGGGTCTGGTCGTAGGGCCTGAACTCTGGGCCTGGGCGCTGTCCCTCAGCTCTTCAGCTCAAGGCTAGCATTCTACCATTTTAGCCACAGCGCCACTTCCGGCTTTTTTTTTTCTTTTTACTTATGTGGTGCTGAGGAATCAAACACAGGGCCTCATGCATGCAAGGCAAGTGCTCTATCACTGAGCCACCTTCCCAGCCCTTCCTTGTGCTTTTTAATGGTTAATGGTATTCTAGTAAAAATATACCTGTTTGGCTTTTGCCTATTGAACATTTAGGCTGCTTTTCTTATGATTACAAACAGGGCCATGTAATCTCTATATTTATAGACATTGCCAATATGCTTCCCAAAAGCTCATAAAAGTTTGTGTTTTCCCTTGAGTCCCATTTTATCTAATCTTTGCCCATAATACATACTTTAAAAAAATAGTACAAGGATTTGAACTCAGAGCCTTGTACTTTCTAAGCTAATGACATATAGCTGAGCCATACCTCCAGTATGGCCAGCTACTTTTAGGACAGGATCTCACTTTCTACTTAGGTACATGCCTGAGCCTAATTATACTTTCTTTCAGCCTTCTCATAATTCTGAGATCACAGTCATAAGCCACCACATCCAGCTTCTTGCTTTTCTCAGTAGAGACAGACTCTCTCAGAGTTGTTCTGCCACAGCTGGCCTGCAACTGCAATTCTCCCATTTTCAGTCTTCCACATAACTTGTGATACCAGGCCCATGACACCACACCCTTGAGGAGTCTTGAAAACTTTTCTTCCCAAATTGGCCTCAAACCTTCATCATCTCATTCTTGTCCTCCCAAAAAGCTAAGATTACACCTTTAAAGGACAACTCACTGAAGAAGTTAATCTTCTCAATTCTACTTCAACCACTTTCTGACACACCTTAACATATGAATAGGAAAGTGCTTTCTCAGAAGATTGTGAATAGAAAAAATAAGCTACATCCTCAGCTGGGAGTGAAACTTAATGGTATAGCACTTGTCTAATATACATGAGGCCCTAAATTCTATCTCCACCACTGCAAAACAGAAAATTTAAAAAGGATATCCTTTAACCCCAAATGTAAGAACAGCTGAAGGTGATATTTCTTCCTATAATAAGAATATTTCAGATCTTACCTTTATTTTCATCTGTCTTCACTACTTGAACAAAATCTCTTCTAATGAAATATTTGAAAGCAGGAGATCGTTTCTCTAGGTTTTCATCGAAGATCCAGAGGTTGACTCGAGCCCGGGTGATGGCCGTGTACAGCTTCTTCAGCTCTCCATTGAGTAGCTAAAGTCAAGATTGAGGATAAACATGAGATCTGTAGCACACCATGATACATTTCAAGTGTCTTACTCTTATTTTTGAAAAATAAACACACTAAAGTTTAAAGAAGTCCAGCACAGTTGTGAATAGAATACCAAGATTTCAGATACTTCAGAACAGGTTAAGTGATGCTCTAAAATGAGCCAATAAGAAATCTCACCCCTTTCCAATAAAAAAAAGAAGACAATATACCACAAAGAGGGCACATCACCAGTATTAGAGGATTCTTGATTTTGCTGTCATTTTTAAGTGTTAATTTTGAACTAATTATAGATTCACCAGAAGTTACAAAGATAGGAAAAAAAGACATACTAGATATATTATATATACATCATAAATGTGTGTTTATATGAACTATATACTATATATAGTGTGTCCTTCACTCTCAGTTTATTCCAGTGGAATACACATCTTACACAACTGCTATGACATTTTATCAAAATTAAATTAGCCATAGCATCTAACTGTCATTAGTATCAAATTACTCAAGACCTGCTCTGTAGCTATATCAAGAAATCTCTCTTTCTCTCTTTCTCCAGGCCCCCCTACCCTTTCTCCCCTTTGTTCTGTCTTTCTTTCAGTAGTCCTGGAGTTTGAGCTTAGGACCTTGCATTGGCTAGGCAGGTGTTCTACCATTTGAGTCATGCCCTCCATACCAAGATTTCTGATTAGTAAGTAAGATGGTGGAATAGAAGCTTCCACCCTGCAACTCCACAGATGATAAGTTTGGGTGACAAAGGATAGGCTTTATGTAAATAAAGAATGAGAGGAAGCCACACACCAGTGGCTCATGCATATAATCTTAGCTACTCAGAAGACTGAGATCTGAGAATCACAGTTGGAAGCCAACCTGGGCAGGAAATTCTGTGAGATTTTCATCTTTGCTAACCACCAAAAAGCCAAAAGCGGAGCTGTGGCTTAAATGGTAGAGTGATAGCCTCGAGAAAAAAAAAAAAAACAGCTCAAGGAGAGTGCCCAGGCCCTGTCTTCAAGCCTCAGAACTGGCACCAAAAAAAAAAGACTTATATAACTTTAACATTCTCAAATACAAATAACTTAAAAAGACAAAAAGAAAAAGAGGGAAAGCATTGAGAATCTCAAAGAGGCAACAGCACAGATAAAAAACTACACTGAAACAGAAAAAGCCACTTGGAGTAAACTAGGACACAGCCAACTCTGGAAGTAGGAGAAACCAAAGCCACAACAACAAGGTAAGCCAAGTGGCCCCTCGTGACAGACTCTTATTCTCAAAAAATGATTTCTCAATATAGTGAGCGTCAGGGGTGAAGGTACTGTCCCTTTCCACTTTCAGACTACTGTATCAAGCCCAACTTTCTGCTAAGAGAAAGGGAGTTTCCTGGCACTGACATATCTGCCTTTCCCTTCCCTTCCCTTCCCCATTGTTGATGTAAAAAATAATGAGGCAAGTTCAAGGTTCCATTTTTCATCTCATCTTCCCTTCTAAACCTTATGTACTGATGCTGTGTCAAGTAAGTATATGGCAAAAACTCACCTTGTATATTTCTGGATTTACCATGAGGGATCGAACCTGAGAAGGGCTAGGTTTCTCCAAGGGCTCTTCAGCCAATGGCCAGTTTCCCTCTCTGGAGTCAGATGGCGGTATAAATGAGGAAATGATCTTCCACTCTTTGTAAGCCTGAACAACAATAACAAATTAAAAAAACAACAGAACATGGTAGTTTGTTTTCTTTTTTGGTCAGTTGTGGGGCCTGAACTCTGGGCCTGGGCTCAGTCCCTCAGCTCTTCAGCTCAAGGCTAATGCTCTACCACTTGAGCCATGGTGCCACTTCTGGCTTTTTCTGCTTATGTGATGCTGAGGAATTGAACCCAGGGCCTCGTACATGCAAGGCAAGCACCCTACCACTGAGCCACCTTCCCAACCCCCAGAACATGTTTTGAACAGTTTTTACCAAGCTTCAAGAGAATTGAGCCTCATGGGATGTGGGGGGAGAGAAGCAAGCCTTCAGCCCCAGCTGTGAGGAGGTGACAATCCTGTGGCTTCAGAATGGATAATAGATGGCTAAAGTTGCAGAGGCAAAGACCAAGAAAATTCACCAGACACTTGGCCAAAACAGTAGAAAATGAACTGGATATCTTATGGGAGGGGACAGGAGGGAAAGACTGGGAGAGATGATGAAAGGAGAAAAATTGTTCACAAAGAAGTGTACTGATTATACTTGATTCATGTAACTGTAACCTCTCTGAATATCAACTACATAAAAACAATTTAAGGAGAAAAACAAAGGAGGGGTAACAATGCTCAACAAGAAATGTACTCATTATGGGACTAGGAAGGTGGTTCAGTGGTAGAGCCCTTGCCTTTCATGCATGAGGCCCTGAGTTCGATTCCTCAGCACCACATAAGCAAAAAGAAAACAGCCGGAAGTGGTGCTATGGCTCAAGTGGTTGAGGGCTAGCCTTAAGCTGAAGAGCTGAGGGGCAGTGCCCAGGCCCAGAGGTCAGGCCCCACGACTGGACTGAAAAAAAAAAAAGAAAGAAAAGAAATGTACTCATTATCTTACTTAGGTAACTATAACTCCTCTGTACAAAATCTTTACAATGAAATAAAATTTAAATAAAATAAAATAAAAACAGGCAGTGGACTGGACTTGGCCAGTAAGCTGTAGTTGGCAGACCCCGGCAAAGTTAATGTAAAATTCCAAGATTAGATGCAGCATGTAGAATCCAATTTGTTTTAATTAAAGACTTCATATTATACTGTCTGGTAAGCATTAGCTGGTTAACTCTCCTTTTTTTTTGCCCATCGTAGGGCTTGAACTGTGGGCCTGGGCACTATCCCTGAGCTCTTCAGCTCAAGGCATGCACTCTACCACTTGAGCCACAGTGCCACTTCTGGTTTTCTGGTGGTGAATTGGAGATAAGAGTCTCACAGACTTTCCTGCCCAGGCTAGCTTTGAACACAATCCTCAGATCTCAGCCTCCTAAATAGCTAGGATTACAGGCATGAGCCACCAGTGCACAGCTTTTCTTTTTATACAATAGTAGCTGTGTGCCTAGCTGCCAGGCAGCTGAGATCTGAGGACTATAGTTCAAAGTCAGAGAAGGCAGGAAAGTCTATGGGACTTTGATCTCCAACTTACCACACACACACAAAGGCCAGAAGTGGTGGGGCGCTGGTGGTTCATGCCTGTTGGCTAAGATCTGAGGATCACGGTTCAAAGCCACCCTGGGCAGGAAACTCCGTAAGAATCTTATCTCCAATAAACTACTCAAAAAAGCCAAAAGTGGTGCTGTGGCTCAAGTGGTAGAGCACTCACCTTGAGCAAAAAGAAGCCCCAGTGCCCAAGGCTGGAGTTCAAGCCCCAGGACCAGCAAGAGAGAAAGAAAGAAAGAGAGAAGGCGAAAGGGAGAGAGGGAGAAGGAGAGAGAGAGAGAGAGAGAGACAGAGACAGAGAGAGAGAGAGAGTGAGAGAGTTGAACAAGTAGTAGAACACTTGCCTTGAGCAAAAAACTTCTGGGACAGCACTCAGGCTCTGAGTTCAAGCCCAGGATTGGCTCAAAAACAAAAAATAGTGCTACTTGCTATTTATATAATGTTTCAAGGATATCCAAAAGATGAAGTTGATACAGATGATTACCTGGTTTAGGTTACCACTAAACCATATGGTTAAACTAACTTAATTAACTTAAACATTCTTTTCATTTTAATTGTATTTAACTGTACAAAGGGTATAATATTTAGATTTATGTATATAATACATATAATATACTTTGATCAATTCAATCTATTTTATTTTCTTAGCCTCCTTCCCTCAATACTCCCTACTTTTTCAAGTTTTCAGTTGGTTTCATTATGCTGTTTTCATACACATATATAACTTACTTCAACTATATTATTCACCCATCACCCTTTCCTTCCCTCCACTCCCCTCCCATTGATTATAATTGTGTCATTATTCCTTTTTAGCTCTAGGTTTCACATATAAGCAAAAACATGCAATATATGTCTTTCTGAGCTTGCCTTGTCTTGCTCAACATGATTTAGTTCAATTTATATTCCTGCAAACAATAGACTCTCACTCTTCTTTATTGCTCCACTGTGTATGTATGCTATGTTTTCTTTCATATCAGTTGACAGGCATCCACACTTATTCTATACATTTGCTATTGTGAATAATGTTATTATGAATATGGGTGGTCATGTATATCTATTGTATGCTTACTTGATACATTCCTTCAGATATATGCCCAGTGGAGATTACAGCAGGGTCATGTGGTAGTTTTGCTTTTAGCTTTTTATAGTAATCTCCAAACTGGTCTCCATAGTAACTATACTTATTCATTCCCACTAATGATGCGCTCCCTCAAATCCCATTGCCATATCCTTGTCAGAGTTTGTTATTGTTTATTTGATAATAACTGTCATCCTGAGGGGTGAAATGGAATCTCAATGCCATTTTGATTTGCATTTTCTTATGGCTAAGGATGTCACACATTTCTAAATGCATTTATTTGATATTTGTACTTTTTGAGAAATGTCTATTCAATTTATTGCTCTGTTTATTAATTGAATTACTTGAACTTTCAATGATTAAAATTTTAAGACCTTCATATATTCTGGACATTCATCTTTGGTCTAAGGAATAGCTGCCAATGATTTACTGCCATTCTGTATGTGGTCTCTTGATTCTGGTAAGCATTTATTTTTTATTTCTATTGTAAAAATATTGTGCAGAGGGGCTGGGAAGGTGGCTCAGTGGTAGAGTGCTTGCCTTGCATGCTTGAGGCCCAGGGTTCAATTCCTCAGCACCACATAAGCAGAAAAAAAAAGCCAGAAGTGGCGCTGTGGCTCAAGTGGTAGAGTGCTAGCCTTGAGCTGAAGAGCTGAGAGAAAGCACCCAGGCCCAGAGTTCAGACCCCACGACTGGACCCCCCCCAAAAAAATTGTACAGAGGGGTTAAGTTACATGAGTAAGGTAATGAGTACATTTCCTATCGAGCATTGTTATGTCCTCCTTTGTTTTTCCTCTACCACCTCTTTCCTCCTCACCTCTCCAACTCCTCCCCCTACAAGTTCATTTTCAACATAGTGTTTTATACATCTCATTGTTACAATGGGTCAGCCTGTATCCTTGTTTCAGCATTTTGTTATTTCCCTTCCCCTTCCCAAATTAGAAAAATGTATATACAAGATGCAGCATACCAGAATTAAATACAGTGAAAACAGGGGTTATATCCGATAAGCATGTCTTGTGCCAAATTTTTTTAAGATGAAACATCTGCTGGTCAATTCTTGTTCTTATTTCCTGAGCAACTGAAGTCCTATTGAGAAACCTTACCTATGCTTATATCTTGAAGTTTTTGTTCCTGTTCTTTTCTTGAACTTTCAAATTTTCAGGGTTTTGGAAAGGGAAGAAACATATAAAAGTCTTCCAGATTCTTCCCTTAGGACCAATAATTGTGCAAGAAAAGGCTTGGAATCTACTAGCAAGGCCATCATTAGAAAATTCAGCTTTCAAAGATCTTTTCATCCCATTCATACAAGTGCGAAAGACAGAAGTATAAATGGTAATTCTAAAGGCAAAATGTCTATGTGCCTCTGATCATATAAAATAATATTTATGGAAATGAACTCCAGGACACAGAAAAAATGGTAATTCTTGTCCCAAATATCCAAGGTAGTTGGGAGTAACTAGGAGGCTGTCACTCTCCAAAGATGAGGCAATATCCTACAAGCAAAAGGATTGTTCTGACCACTTCTTATACCTTTACCATAGTAATGTGGTTGAACAGGCAAAATAGATCCTCTAGAAAGAAAAATCACACACTATAGCAATATGGATCTTCCTTCACCAGTGTCCATGGCAACCCTATGCCTAGGTGACAGACGCTGCAAGACCCTACATGACTGGAACACAAACAAGGAGGATGAGAAAAGCTCTATGGTTCCAATTACCTTCACTCATCCACTTGGAGAGAATCCCCAAATTCCTATGGATATGTATTTTCTGATTTTATTTGAAAAATTCGGTAGAAAAGGGGTATACATAGAAATGACAATGATAATGGGAAGGGATGAGAAGGGGAAACAAAGGAGGAGGCAACAATGCTTGGTAAGAAATGTACTCATTACTTTGCCCATGTAATTGTAACCCTTCTGTACAATATTTTCACAATAAAAAAAGAAATGACAATGATATACTCATTGTGAAAGACTTTGGAAGTCAATTCATATGCGAAGCTTTAAAAGAAAGGGAATAAGAAGGAAAGATGTTCAGTACTGAAAGCATCTGAGTTTGTCTTCAGACTCTGCTACCTGTATTATGACTATGGACAATTTACTTAATCTCAATACCTTTTGCTTAATGCTATAGAATGAAGGTGACAAAAATACACGTAACCTCAGAGGACTGCTGGAGTAAGACAACACACTGACAAAACATACTTCATAAACTGTAAAGTGCCCTGCAGAACCAGCTATAGATATTAAGGAAAATGTGGCATTAAAATGGCCAAGAAAAAAAGTAATGATTTTATTTAAAAGGTCAGCTCTGGAGCAGATTTTAAGATGCCAAAACCAACAGTGCTTCTGACTTAGATAAGAAGCAACCTTTTCCAGTATGTACCATATGAAATAGGAATAATATACAAGAAGGACCAAGACACAGACAGCTAAGTTCCCAACAGCTAATATTCCCCAACACAGCTAACAGACCATCTGAGTCCACAGTAAAAGATAGTGATAAAAGAAATGAGTCACAACTACTTAACAATAAAAATAAGGGCCTCACTATAGGAAGGAAGGAAAGAAGGAAGAAAGAAAGAAAGAAAGAAAGAAAGAAAGAAAGAAAGAAAGAAAGAAAGAAAGAAAGAAAGAAAGAAAGAAAGA